AAAATTATTTAAATTGTGATATATATATAAATTTTTTTTTGTTCTATCATATATTTTACATCATATATTAACTTTAATATTAGTGAAATTGTAGTGTGTCATTGCTTTACATTAATACTTTCAACGTATTATGAAACATTTAAACATTTTACTGTTTAAAATGTAAAAATATTATTACAGATTTGAGGAATAGCTAAAAAAAACTTTGTTCTTTGGAATATTGTTTCAACGGGTAACTCAGTTTTTGAAAATTTCAGTTTGGTATCGCTGGCGTTATTTAAATAAGTTATTAAAGTTATATCTATTTTATAGTTATAGTTATATTATAAGTTATTAAAGTTATAGCTCTTTGATGCCATATTAAAAGGATTGGTTTATTTACATGTTTATGCAAAAAATAAACAAGCTAATGAGGTGCACAGTGATAATAAACACTCTATTATTGAGTTAAAAAAACGTCGGAAATTTCAAGGACCAAAGGAAAAAGCTCGGTTTATATCCATTTTTCAGTNTGTTTCCGCAAAAAATATACAAGCTAATGAGGTGCACAGTGATAATAAACACTCTATTATTGAGTTTAAAAACGTCGGAAATTTCAAGGACCAAAGGGAAAAGCTCGATCTACATCCATTTTTCACGTAAATAATGGATAGATCTTCCTCTCTTGCATTTTGGGGATTACTATGTTTAAAGTGTGAAATCAGTTCTTCCTGAGAGTTATCATGCAGTGAAATCGGGTCATAATGCGGAAAAAACCCTTTTGTTCGAGAGTGAAATAGATTTTTCTTTGAATCAATTTTTATATACATGAAGAGTTCTTTTTCTTTCGTGGTCATAATTTATTTAATTATAAATATCTATATTATACATTATAAATATCGGTATTTTAATTTATAAATATTTGTAACATTGCTGAAAATTTAATATCTCATCGAAAGATAATAAATTTTAGGAAAGAACATAAATAGTTGTAATGTCATATTTTTGTAGACAGGTCTCTTCAGTCTGAATTAATAGTGAATGGATTTAAGTCATAGCCGATGGAAAAGAAAATATAGGAAATTTAATTTGATGTCAACTCTTTGAATGAATTATTTTATTTTCATCTTTTTGATCTATCAACTTATGAAAAATACCGGTCACTTCAATAAATGATAAATATTTTTTCTCTTTATTCAGCAGAGTCATTTACTTATTATTGTTATTATTATTATTGATAATAATAATGAAATAAGAAAGCAAGGTAAATGAGGATAATTTTGCCCTAACTCCCGGCTAATTTGAAAGATCCTCTCTTGTTAAGAAAGTAAGATCATTTCGATTGAAAATTATGTTATCAAATAAATTCTTCTTATAAATTTTTAAGATTTCTTAAAAAATTATAAACTATAATAACTTTGTTAATTATTTAAAAATAAATATACGAAATTTTTTAATTAATTTTCAAAATAGTATATAAAAGTTTATATCATTCCTTTAAAAAATATTTTATGCGTCAACCGAACTCTAAATTTAAAACATGATTCTTAGTACATTTATCCCTTGAACTCTTAGTTAGAATCTAATATGCGTTCTAAATATCTAACAAAATTTTTCTTCAACTTCCTTTATGTCTTTTTAAAATAGTTCCAAAAACGCGAAAACTCATAAATATTTCAGTTAATGTGCTTCAGTTGCAAATGATTATCATATAACAATCGGGCTCATTTCTTTTATTTTGCTGTCTGATTAATCCATATTTTTTTATATACAATTGAAAATATTCGTTAAATTATATTTGCAATAAAGAAATTAATTTATTCAAAATATAACTCACAAGTAGAACGAAAAAATTTGTACAAAAAAAAGCAACAATGAAACTGACTAAAAAAGACGTAAGAAAACGGCAGACAAACAAAAAAGTTCCCGAACTTGGTATAGATGTTTGAAGGTAGGTGGGAAATGTAAAGAAACCTTTCTCCCCTTAGCTTAAAAAGGTGAGACCTCTCATAGTGACTAAAACAATAAAACAAATCCCACTGTAACTTGATCCTGTCTCTTAACTGAGGAGGAGATTTTTTCCCCTATTCTTACGCTGAAAGTGTCACATGCCCACCACAGGACCCCAAGATCAGATGTGACAACTACTGTCACAGCCCCCCGGAAAAGGTTAACGATCAGTCCACTGCGGGACCTTAATATAAGAGAACTAAATGTTAGATTTGAAAACTGGGTACTTTTTTTCTGTCGCCCTGGAGCTGCACAGTGAGCTATCAGCACCACAAGGATACACCTCAAGGATCTCATCTCAAGATGAAGGGGTACTGGGAAGCATCTCTGAGGATGATCCGAAGACATGCCATCAAAATTAGGAATCACCGTGGAGGGGATAGATCCCCCACTGACCTGCGCACGAAGTCAAACACTTTACGGTAGAACAGTTTAATGAGGACCGATGCTACGCACCTTTGGTACCTACGCAAGCTGATCAAAGTTTTCACCCACCCGTTTACTGTCCTTAGCCAGTGATGCTTGACTTCGGTGTTCTACTAGGAACCATGTCCTTACGATCAGCCTACTACAGGACGCTTTATTTGAAAATAACTTTGAAAATGAAATTTGAATAAAATGCTTTGGTAATTTAATGTAATTTTAAGTTTTCTACATCACACGCCATCACAATTTTGTGAGTCCATTTCTTCAATTTAGACATAGATCTGAAGGAGAAGGAAATTTTTGCCAGATCACTGTGATTCCAGATTCTTCAGATCCTTAATGCATCTCAGCGATGGACCACAGGACTTACGATTCCACAAAATTTACGAGCACGTAAATCACATTTAGTACTCGGTTGGTCTTAGCGGAGTCGAAGATCAAACTTCGGTCCTGAGTCCGATTTCCAACCACTAAGCTACAAATTTTAACCGCTAGTATACGCATCAAAGAAATTCAGCACTTTTACAGCAACTTTTTAAGCGAATTGAAAACAATCATAAAACTTGATTATTTCAAGGCCCATGCAAAAAATAATTTTTATAAGTTATTTATTATTTTTCATAATTTTATTTAATAAGAGTCGAAAATTATTTAAATTGTGAGGCATACGAATTTTTATATCATTTTAAAAAACGAAATTTGAAATGGCAGAAGGCAAAATTTAAGCGCTGTGGTCGAACAGTTTTTGAATTATCAAATTTTAAGAAGGTCACAAATAAAAATTTGATTTCTCA